AAACAATTTCACAGTCATTTTGATTCAAATCATTCATAAAAACGATCACATTGAAAATTAATTCGTATACAAGAATAACATAAACAGGATTGCGCTAACGTGACGTCATACACTGTAAAATGAGTAGAGGCAACATAGCAACAAAAAAAGCTATATACTTGTAGCATATGACGTCGACGGTGCAATTTTGTTTTTTTAATTCTTGGTCATAGCCTAAGCCGAATAAAGTACTTGTAATGGTAAACACTTGGCGTAATCTCTATCTTTATCATTCTCGATTTAGATATAAAAAGTTTGTCACATTATGATTCTCTTTACCATCAATTTTTTTTTCGTTATTACAACTGTTCAAATGAAAATGACTTTGCGAATTTGTGTTATCCCTGTCTCATCCGATCTATTTCATGAAATATCTTATTTTGTTTTAAGAGACGAATTCCACAGAACAGAGTTCAATAAAATAAAATCGTTATAAAGGGTGTAAGCCAAAATCACTTTATTAAATGTATATAGATTTCGATTTCTAAAAAATACGAGAAGTTTTTTCGAAAACAGTCACCACTGCGATTTCGAACAAAATTTCGTATCGTTTTAGTTCCAGGCCTTCAAATTCATTTTCATTTCAACTTTTCATAAGTTGATATATTCGAAGCCTATTTTTAAATTGGAAATATGGCAACTCTGGCATCATAAGATACACCAGATGTGAGCAATTGTGTACACCTTGAAATTTAGTAAAATTTATAATTTTATGTACTACTTTCTATTTTTGTTAACCAAAATTTTCAGCTGATCAAGAATGTCAGTTGAAAAATGAAAATTGGTGTGGAAAACAAAAAAAATTGTTAAGCTAGGCTATAGGTATCATAATGAATATAACAGATATTATCAAACTGCACAAACCTTTGGAGAGTTGCAATATTATCGATAACTCCAAGTAATCGACTTATCTAGATCGTTAGAATTTTAAATTTAAATGGATAGTTTGCAACGAATTTACTTTTTTTTAGAAATATTTCTAGCTTCCAATAGTATCTAATTTGTTGTGGAAAAAAATTATTTAATATATTTCTCTGAAAAAAATATTTTAATTTACAAATTTTTGAACAAAAACACTAATCGAAAATGTTTTTGAACTACCATGACAATACTTTTCAAACTGAACAGAAATACCAAACCAAAATATATATAAAAGTTTAAAACAGAAAAAATTTGTAAATGTGTCATAAAGTGTTTTTGGATAGGTGGTATTTTATAATTCTGACTCAAAAAATTTTGCTTGGAATGCGTGGAATTTACGTTACCATCCGTGTCATTCCGCGCTGCCGTTTTACAATTTACACCACTTTAATTTATTTAGTTAAAGTCTCAAGAAGCATATCATGTATATACGCTATATTCCAATATTTATACATCATAGATTAGTAATAACTTACACAGCCATTATAAAATACATATTACGACCTATGTTGTTACCAACTACCACTGATTAAGTGTGTGGGAGTTTCGGCTTGTGTTCAATAAGTTTGTTGCTCTTTATTAAGGCGAATGGCTTCCTCATTGTATGGTAATTTATGATGTGATACGTTGATCTCATACGCACTTATTAATAAATTATCACTATATAAGTATGTATGTACATATGTTTGTTAGCAAGTAATATTGTATTAGTCGAAATACGAATTACGTTATCAAAAATAAAAATAGTTTCATTTGCGTATCTAAAAAATAAAACTAAAATCACCAAAATAATACAACAAAAACAATAGCGATCAAAGCAACAAGTGCGTGGAAATAAATAATAGCACACGCATAAAAAATAAAACAAAGGAAAGTAAAACAAAAATGACTATAAAACAAAAGTAAAAGAAAAGAAACACATTTTTAGTTAATATACTCGAATTTGCTTTAATTTTGTTTAGGTCAACGAACTTATTTGAACTACTTTTTTCTCAGACACGCTACACATCCAAACTATTTCTTTTATTTATACATACATACATACATACTATAACTTAGCTGTTGTGATTTAGTCATTTATTTATTTTATGTTTTATAAATTATAAGCAGATAATGCGTAGGCTTTTATGTAGGTGCCAAAGGCGGCCGGCATAGAGATTATCATAGCCTTTTTATTATCGCTAAATTGGAGCATGTAAGATTTCTTTCAATAAAAATATAAATATATGCGTGTTTATGTGGTATATACGAGATGTGGTTGATAGGTTGCAAATATTTTTATAGAACTATATACATATAAATATGGTAGACTCTTTTAAGATGGCTCAGATTTTGAATTTCAAAAATTAAAAAATTGTATACAAACAGAAAGGGTATGACAAAAAATCGAATTTTTCACAAAGTTTCAAGTACAATATTTTAGTTTATAAAATTGAATATTTTATCGAAAATTTTCCACATTTTGTTCTTATGAGTAAGTTTTTTATACTGCAATATTATTATTTCATATATTGTTTTCAAAACTTGCTAGTGTGAACTTAATAAAAAACATAAATAGATTTTTTCCATATTTTGAAAATATAAAAATAACATGCTACAAATTCAAATCAATATCTCAAATAGTCTTTGAGTTAAAGCTTTCTAAAGTATTGCCGTTCAGTTCAATCGGCTACATCAGTTTATATTTAAAAGCGTTTCTCTCGAAACTACGTTTTTTAATTTACTCGAGTGATTACTTGGAAACAAATGATCCGATTGCTATCGATTCTGCATGTTGTGTATATGGTTCTGCCAACAATGACCTAGTAGTTTTTAGATCTGATCGAAAATAGAATTTTGGCATGCCGAAAACGATTAATTTTTCGAGTAAAAATAAACTTAATGTACGCACAATATTTTCTAGAAAATACTTTTTTATTTAGTAATGCAGGATGTTATTTAGCGCTGTCGGAGATTCCGTGAAACTCGAAAAATATTTAATTTTTTAATTCAAACATTTTACTGTGTATTCTTAAAATTTGTATAAATACAAAATTGTAAAAAAATTTAATTTAATTCCCAAAAATCTTCTCTTTTTAGGCTGTCGCACTAGTTGTGTTCCTTAATTTCACCGAAAAACTCAATAATTTCAGAACCACAGTAAAAGGTACGTGTCTTTGATAAAAATAAAAAAATACGCCTAATTGTACGCAACATTATGTCTGCATATTTTCAAAATTCTTAAATTTTATATTAAAAATATTTTTAAGTTAAAAAATAATATTTAATTTCCGTTTAAAGAAAGAACTTGCCTTTAAAACCACACCTTATATGAGACCTCTGAACTTCACACTATCAAAACACTGTAAGACTGAAAAACAACTGTTACAAAATGCGAATATACATCTTCCCAAATTTAACAAAAATTGTACGGTGAACCCCACTTTATGAATATATAATATGTTTCTTTATATGCATGCCTACTTACTCCCATATACAATCATATTTATATATACCCAACTGTTTGCATTGTGTTTCCTAAATTAAGCAGTGAAATACAATAATTAAAGTACCGCATTCGCAATAAATGTATACTTGTGGGTATTCCCAGTTATTTGATCAGCAATTGTAGAGTACCAAAGCGTTGCTTCGAATTAGTCGAATATAAAAGACGACAAACGAATATTATTGGCACAGTTCATTTCGTTAAGTCGGACAGCTTGTCAAGAAACATAAACGTGAGCTATGGATTTAAAATTTTTCATGCTGTTATTCGCAATATTTGTTGGTATGGCTTTGGCTGCAAAACCTACTATAGATCCAAAGTTAAAATGGCATCGACCAGTTGCTGTGCCGCCACAGTGGTATAGAACGGGTAATACAGACACTGGGAAGACGAATCAACAGTCATAAATGATGTGCTGTGTATGTTCCAGTGGCTTTCAAATTATATGCGAAGCAGTTATTGTGTTAGAATTATGCAACTTAAATGTAACAGTATTTAAATAATTATAAATATATGTATGTAGGAGTGTGGTGAAAAAATAAAAATTTTATTAATATATGTAAAAAAAATGGGTCGTCTCGAGGTTTCGCCGAGTTTTTCGTCAATTTGTGGTATATGTGTTGATGTGAATGGTTTTCTCAGTTTCGAATGATTTTCGAATGGATGTTGTACTAGTATTTATTGTGAGTTTTTATAGCGGAAATACTACGCAGTTATAAAATTTTCCATTACGTTAATGGACTTGTAATATCCGAAAATTCTTCTACATAACTGCAAGTCTTATGAAAAATAATTCACATACAAGGCAAAGTTGTATATACTATAAAAATCTACCACTTTTGTATCAACTTTTTTCATATTACCTCAAAATTTATGAGAAAAATTCAAAGAAACCGAGTTTTTGTATTTTGATTGCTTTTTTTTTTGTTTTTACAATAATTTCTTTTACAAAATTTTGTGTCAGCTTATTTTTTAATGTTCCAAACATACTGCAATTTTTTGAATTTAAAATATTTTATTTTTTAACTTATCTTGACTTAATACCTGTAATTTTCAATCAGAAATTGTCACATCAAAATATCTGCTTTTTGTTTAAATCGGTAGACTTTTTCTTCATTGAAATCTTCACTCTCTGATGGTGTAAAGAAAATATATGTACATTACTTATGGTAAATTTCCTCAAAAAATGTAAAAGATCACACCACTTAACATTTTAAAGCTTTTTTTAAGCTGCTTCTATAAAAGTAAGAGGGAGCACGCTCCGAATTTGCACAATATATAAATTCCTTTCAAAATATGGTCTCTACAAAGAAGTAATACTTTTTTACATAAATATGTTACCACCTTAATGCAAATGTTACCGTTATTCTCTTCAAATATTTTTTAGTATTGACTAAATATTATAGTGTTATAAAATTTGTTAATCAGAAAAGTTCCATCACATTCACTCCCTCCGATACCTTCTATGTTGTAAATGTTACTCATACGTAATGGTGAACTTCACAAAGTCACTTATAATAGTATAAATAAAGTTTACATAACAAAAACAATAAACATATTGTGCACATATATTAAACTTTAATTGCTCATAAAATATTTTTACATTTTGTCAACATCAATTTACCAACTATATGAGCCAGATATTGAGCCGCTGTAGGAATTGTCATTGTTATGGAAATCATGAGTGGCTTGTGCAGCGGCGTCCACCTTCAAATTGCCATCATCGCTGCTGTAGATATTTTGATTGTAATGAGCTGAAGCGCTATCCTGGTTCACATCGACACCAACGCTGCCACCATCGGGTGTACGCACTTGGCGGACCAACACTGGTGGGTGTCCTTGCTGTGGCAATTGCGAGTCATCTTGCAGTGGTAAGGCAGCGATCAGTGCAATGCTGCAGAGGCAAACGAATACTAGAAGACACCTATTTGCCATTTTATATAATTTTAATATAAACGTTCTTCTTATGTTATTAAAAGCGATCGATAACGAAGTGCTTAAGTGATTGATAACAACTTCGCTGGAACGTTGGTTTTTATATCATCTCACCTGTGTTTTGCCAATCGATGTTGCATCAATTTGGGATTCACACTATCTTTAATTTTGTTGAGATAATGATAACTCTCACTTGGGAAGCACCTTATCAAACATAATATGATTAAGTGTGTTTACCTGTAATTATTTAAGTAACATAACGGAAGTATGTTATTTCATATTTTCTTATCAGTGGTAGAGTACCTTTATTCTTTTAACGTAAACGTACTTTTAGCTCGCGTAAATTTGAATCGATATTTAACGATTTTTATCGATTTATTGTATGAATTATTTCGATCATATTCATTTACTATTCTAAGAGTCTTTCCATATTTTATATTTTTCTTAGTTTCTATTTGCTAACTGCCCTAATTTATTTCAGTTTCCTTATACTCACTATAAACAAGGGGTTGCTTTAAGGGTTAGCTACACTTGCAAGTCAGAAAAATGTTTTTTTGTTTTTGAGTGAATTTTTTTAACGGCTTTTGTTTAATAAATAAATAAAATTAATGTGCATTTACAAAATTTAATGATGTACTTTAAAATTCGTTGATTCTTTTTTTGAACAACTTTGGATTCCCTTCTAGCCGATCTCTTTCGGACTCTGGTGGTGACGAAGCTTTTTCTGCTTAAGGGGGGTTTCTAGTCTAGAGGCATGAATTTTAGATAATTTTTGAAGTGTCGAAAAAAGGCCATTCATATTTTTATTATCAATTTTTTTACTATTTATTTATTAACATAACAAGAATACAGGATCAAAAAGTAAAAAAAATTAAAATTTACAAAGATTAGTAGCTGATGAAGTGGGGGTCTCAAAAAATTGGCACGTGACCATATCTACGATTTCAACCCTCATAGCAATCTGAAACCAAAATAAAAATATTGATTAAAATTAATGTCGCAATATGTGGTTGTACGGATAAATTGAAAAAAAAAACCAATTTTGGTATCACTCTTTTTGATTGTTTCGAATTTTTTTAAAATAGTGAAAATATAAATTTGGGAATGTAAATATTTCCAGACATAGACAAGTCTTTAAAGAGGACTAAAGAGGAGAGGAGGTTACGTAGACCGGATAGTTGCGGGATTGGATAATTTATTGTTTGTCTTTTCCTTCCACTGAAACATATTACAACAGAAAATGTCAAAAAACAAATGCACAAAAACCTAGGACTCTTAAGATATTCGAGTAACAGTACAACCTCAGCTTTGCAAGCAATTACTTTCAAAGACCCGCTTGTTGTAAATCTCCCATTCACATTAAAATAGTCTCAATTAACACTAAAGAAAACCTGAATACCAACAAAAAGTTCAAAGTTCGTGCTTAACCTCAACTTAAGACACCAAGTGTATTACTTTCAATGCAAAGACATTTAATGTTATTTACATTAACTAACTTTCAATGGCAGAAAACTGACAACAAATTGCAAAAGATGCAAAAAATGCAACAACAACAACAACAATATCCCACTGTTTACTACGGGCATTAAACATTGTGCTTGCACAACAACAACAGTCAAAGCAACAGCACCTCGCATCAACAACGAATTCATTGAGCCGCAACGGCAACGGCAACAGTTAAATTGCTGAATTTGTTAAACAAAATCGTAGACAAAAGCGAACGACGCTAAGCATTTTTGCGATTTCACAACAACAACAACGACCATGCAGCATTGAAACATTAAAGCCAAATCATTTATACGCCCCCAACTCGCAACACTAGCATTTTGTTGCTGTAGTTAACAGTAACACATTGCAACCGCTCATTAGACATTTTTCTTGCAACGTCATCGCCGATGGCCTACCAAATGCCACATATATAGTGGCTATGATGTTGGAGGTGTTGCCGCTGCAACATGCCACTGCACCGCACACACTGTCACACCAATCTAACAACAACAACAAATGTTGTTGCATACACGCGTGCCGTTTCCCCTGGCATACTCTTCGCCTGTAAACACCTGACTGACGTTTTGTTGTTGTATTTTTATTTTGTTCCCAAACGATAAACCACCGTAAAGATTGTTGTTATTATTATTTTTGCTGTTGTTGTTGCTGATATTGTTTTTATTCCTTTTGTTGCTATTTTTTGTTGTTGTCGCTACAAGCCAGTAAGCCAAGTAGTTACTTAGCTGCCGGCTAACTGTGCTCAGCTCCGGCGCTAAACTGAGCCATCGTTGTCTGGCGCTGGGGAATACCAAATTTCGCGCCATGTGGCATGCACCGCGGCGCATTTCACTTTCATTATGATGTAGTTTTCATTTTGTTGCTATTGCATTACACCGCTATTTATTTATTTGCGTTGCCAATTGCTTTTGTTGCTAATATATATTTTTGTGTTGTCAGCTGTAATGTGTCTTTGTTGCTTTTCGCCATGTGACCATTGTGAAATTTTATGCACACTCACACATGTATATGTATATCTGTGTGTATGTATGCACTTTTTATTCCATTCAATATGTTAAACAAGTTGTTGTTGGTGCACACATTTGTATGCACTTTGTTAGCGTGTTTGAGCGGTGACTGTCTAAAGCAATGCATCAACAACTTTGGTGTAGGCGAAATGGTAGTACATATGGTAAATTGCGGTCAGTTGAATTGTGACAAGTAGGTGATATGCAAATTCAGTGCAACAGAGCCGTATGTTTTGACGTTGCGCAGATTTTTATTGCGCATGCGTATGTATTTGTAAATGTATATCAATTATCCCTGTAGGAAATTGTTGAGTAATTTTAGTGATTTTCTTTAAATTTGCCAAAATATAATAGTTGCTTTTGAAAATCATCTTTTTTTGTAATAAAATTGCATAAAACACCACAAATCAAATTGATGGTTGTCAAAGGATTCATCACAATTTCTCATGTCCGTAGCAACATAACGTCAAATCGAGAATATAACAAGAAAAAACATTTAATTTGCTTGTGCCAAAGCTATAATACTCTTCACAGCTGCATTTCTTATCGCAACTGTAAGTATAACTATATCTGAAAACTATATGCTGTAGTGGTCCGATTTGAACAACATATTTTAAGATCGATACATTATCTTGGGGTATATTCCGCGACAAATTTCGTGAAGATATCTGATCAAATAAAAAAAGTTCCATGCAAGTGCTTGATTTTAATCGATCAGTTTATATGAAAGCTATATGCGAAAGTAGCTCGATATCAACGGTTCTGACAAATGAGCAGCTTCTTAGGGAGATAAAAATGTATGCGAAATTTCAGATCAATATCTCAAAAACTTAGAGACTAGTTTGGGTACATACAGATACATATGGCTAAAGTGACTAGCCCCGTCCCGCTGCTCCTTTACATATATACTATACAACTCTTTAAAGAAATTTTCTACTTTTGCTTAACTGTTTGGATCATTAAAGTTCCTAGAAAAAATCCTTTTCTATTGCTGGCTTAGTCCTATGGCAATATTTAGAGCCTCTCCAGTTCATAGAGTCAACCAACAAGAACGACGTGATGATATAAAATAAAATAAACCACTCAAATTTGGTAAAATAGGCATTTTCTGCCTCATTTCGAAAGAAATAAGGACCGATGATGCCGCCATACCACAATCCGCACCAAAAGATCAATTTTTGGTATGCAATTGCGTTTCGTGAATCAGACGAGGAAAAGCCAGAAATAGGTCTTATCTGAGAAGAGGATCGTAAACATAAATTTGTGAATTTCTTGGAGTACGAGAATTTGCGTTGTACCAAAATGAAACGTGACATCATGAAATAACAAACCTTACTGAACACACTGAAAATTTTTGACACAAATCCGTAAACAAACATGCCCGCCACAAGCTGTCAAATTCCTGTCATTCCTATTAGTAGACGCGTTGCATAAAAATATATGTTGGTTATCAGAGTTGCGTTAAAATATAATGTTAACTAAAAATACACAAGAAAAGTTTAAGCTACATTTTTAGTGGCCCCAGAACAAAATTTTAAGAGGAACTCCCCAATTGAGTTGTATATAATATTTTTTTAATCCATATCAGCCTTATAACACAACCTGATTAGGTATTTGACTGAGCTTTTTCAAGTAGTTCTCTAGCTCTAAATATTTGATGAGCTTTCTACGACAATGAAATTTTTGAGATTCCAATCTAATAGTTATAAAGATTGTATTATATATATGAAACTGATCAATAATACTTGGTATTCGGTTGATATTCTGAAATTCTCACGAAAACTCCAAATTTGTACTTATACTAGTCTTAAAGACTTTTTGCTCTTTGTTTTGCGAATAACATATTGTATATTAATCTACATTTGTTTAATTTAGACCGTTTTTGAGTTGTAGTGTATAAATTCGTCTTTAAATTTTATAGTCAATCACCAAATGTACTCATTGTATAAGTAGTGGTATAAGAAATTCTGAATTCAATATGACAGTCACTTATTTATTCTATGCACATATGTATGTACATATGTATACAATAGATAACTATCAAAGACTTTGCCAAAATGCTATTAAATATGTTGCGGTGTCACAATAAGCACCAACCAAGTGGTGTTTAAGGCGAGTTATGGGAAAATACAATATGTTGCGTGGTCATCTCTATGTTTATGAATAGTGTTTAATACTAAACACTAAATTACTTATAAACTCGAGTTTAAGAAAATATTCCGGCGCAAATCAGAAACCATATTATTGAGCTGTAAAATTTTTTTCGCTAAACCAATATTACTCTAGAATGAAAAATATTTGCAATCGAAACACATTTTAGAGTTAATCTCAAAGAAAGCCTCTCGCTGTGACATACAAATGAAATCTAGAGTTAACCATTAATAAAAAAATAGCAAAAAAAAAATTTTAAGCAAATTAGACAGTTATATGTTAATTTGCTTATTTATCTGTTTAATTTCTGCAGTAAATTTGGGTCTATTCACACACATTTCGAAAATTGTATTTAAATAATGAATGAACGAATGAGCATTTCTACGCCATGGTAACGAGCGATTT